ATACTAGCACTTGTACGGAGTAACAAAGGGCGTCTTTTTTTGCTGCTGCCGGGGCTCGGCATGGTAAAGTGACATCCATTGACAAGATTGACCGGGTATCTGTAATGGCCGTTCCTTGTTGCTCTTGATACAGCGCCTGCACTGCACTTTTGGTTCCGTACTCTGGGTTAGGTAGTACCTAGGGTAGTTCCTTTTGCTCCGTAACTCTGCAGCCAGCTAGTAACATTGTCCGTGGCGCTTCTCTAAGCTTCTTGGCATTTGATTCCAGATTGTCAACTTTTTGCGAGCAAGAAACAGAAAAAACGCCGATGCGGGTAAAGCTACTCACACACACCGAAAAAAAAAAGTAAACTAGTGAAAGAAGACATGATGAGAGAGAGATACAGCGATTCGATAGAAGCAACCGCAACTTCGTACAGTGCATATGTGTTATGTGCATGTGCGTTGCGCATGTGCGTGTGTGTCTCGTTCTCGTTTGGCCACAGCCGATATTGAAAACCACAACCATTGGATCCTGGGCTCTGCTATATGCAGCCCACAGAGAGCGTAGTCGGACAGCTGGTGTTGCCTGAATGGCTGGTCAACGCCGCCACGGCACAGCAAGTCACACGGGACAAGATTAAATGTTAAACACGTAGACAGACACCAATTGAGATGAGCGTCGCATTGAGTGGTTGCGAGAGGAGTTGACGCACGCACGCTGATTTGCAAACATCCGAAACCCCTCAAAGACACACAGTACGAAAGGCTACAAAAGTCCGTCTCTATGTTTCATAAAAAAAGAGGGGGATGGTAGTACCCTTTGCTTGGCGAGTTGCGAATGAGTTTCTCTTTGGTTATGTTTCCTGTGTAACGTTCTTCTCCCATTTCTTTAATCTCATCACTCGAAACGCAGCTCCTATTGCTGGCATCCTTGTTTGGGAATTTTTCCCGATATAAACTCACACCTGGCATGTCAATGCGGCCGCTCGGCCAAGTTCGTGTCGTTTTAAAGCGGAGATATAATAACAAATAAAGACAAAATAATGCTCACTCTATTGATTGGCATGGTTCCAGTCCATTCAGTGACCATTGACCCGGCTAGCTCGCCAAGATATGTCACAAACTCAAAGGCCGTCAGAAAAATAAAATTGGGTTAAATAGTATGGTCTTCTTTTCTAATCCGTTGTGTCCTTGAAACGGCCGTTGGTCTTCCCCCCCAAAAGGCCGCCATAATCTTGCTTACGGGAGCAAAGAGGTTGATGATATGAGATTTTGTGGACGGGGAAGACATATTTCCGCATAGCCCCGTGCCAATTCGTCGGCTTTTTTAACCCCTTCATCTGCCTATCTTTTACTCTTCTTGTTGTCTGACTATTCATCGGCCTTTTTGCTGTGGAATCAAGAACACGGTCCAACCACGTAACCGGAACTCCTATTCTCGTTGCCTTTTGCATCCCCTCATGGGAGTAGGAGTAGCGTGGGAGATAGTACTAGGCAGATGACAGTAATATCACATCTCGGTTACTCCATATTACTACCCATAAAGGTTCTCAGCAACTAATCCTCTCGCCATCTTGTCTAATACAGTATTATCATCCGGCCTTTTCGGATTAATCATCGGCTTTCTCAATTGTCTCATGCTACGTATCACGGATCTGCGCATGTAACTTCGTAAAAAAACCATAACCCCGAACATTTTGCGAGACCATCAAAACCCGACCCCGTAAAACATCCTCCCCTTGAAGAATCCAGAAAACGCCGTCCAATCAAACCCCCGCGAGCCTCTTCAACAGCAACTAGTATCGCTTTTTGCTTTCAAGTGTCAGCGGTCCCCCAAATCAAGTAAGTGTTTCGCCTTTTCTAAAGCCGAGTCAATCAGTGCATGCAGGGCCGCCAATCTGACGTGTGGATCTCTCCGCCTTTTCAATGGGAATTTTTTTTTTTGTTCGTCTCACGCCCTTTTGTTTCCAGAGGGGGAGGGGGGTGTGTGTAATCTGGACTTTTTTTTTGTCTACTCTATATTCACCTACGGGGCTTTTGATCTAATTATCGCAATTCCAGCTACAATCTCCCCTTCCCCGTTTGGGTAATTGCAAGGGGGCGTGTGTGTGTTGATTGTCTTGTATGTGTCATCTGGATGTAATCATTAGCAACGCTAGATAGAAACAGAGTCGGTTGAAAAGGGCTACAGTAAAGTTATCGTAACTCGTATCTCTCTCGCACTTACTTCCTCTTTTAATTCCGACTGATTTGCCCAGGTTAGGCTTTTGCAACTGTTTCGGCGATAAAGGTGGACGTGCGAATCAGCCTTAGACCGAGGTTGCGGTAAGTGCCGTTGGCCTCTCTCTAGTTGTCTTGTCGTATGAGATAACACGATAATACGCAAACTCGTCGCCTTTTATTGCCCAGTTTGGCAAATGCGGGATCCCTCTTGTCCATCCTAGAGTGCAAACAAAGCGATTGCGCCATAATCAACACTGTGCCCGCTTCCTTCAAGCAAGAGAATTAGGCTACCTAATAATAATACAACGTAAGTAATACTAATTACCGGATCCGGAATACGACTCGAACTGCCCTTGACCGTTTCATTGCTCTGTAAATAGCCCATGACTCGCACTTTGTGGAACGCCATTTCGCGGTACTGATAGACTCATCCATGCGCAAATAGAACACCCCTGCAATATATCCTACAGATTGCTCTCTTTGAATCATGGCAACTCAAAGACGTGTACCATCCCCAGTGGCCCAACTCTCTCAACCCTCCCCACCCATAGCTCCGTTGCTTGTAAACATAGATTCATAACTCCCGTCGCTTTCGTAAGAATGCTGTTGCGTTCCAGCGTGCCGTATCAAGAAAGCCCGAACCTCGGGACCGAGAGTTGAGTTGTCGCGGGACACAAAACAATCACCGTGTATCATAGAAAGCAAATGGTCTCTTTTCCTCCGAAAAATCATGTCGAGATCCGTAGTTGTGAAACTCCCACAACTCCCAATGTTCCGCCAACCGGATAATTAACCGTTTCATCACCGCCCTCCTCTGCCTCGGCCTCTCCCTCTTCCGCGGCCGCGACCACCGCCGCGACCGCCTTTCTTACCACCTCTTCCGCTGTTTCTATTATCGAATCTTTCAAACAGTCGTTCCTCTCCAAATGCGCCCTCTCCGAATCTCATAAAGTTGACTAATCCTCTGTCCACCACAGCCACAAGCACGTTCCTATGCCCGTGCTTTAGTCGCTGATACAGCCTCCCAGGATTTCCTCGCCATGCTTCTGGCGCAGGATCATATGGTGTCGATTCTAGCAATGTCTCAATCTGTTCCAGTGTTGGAAGACATGAGTCGGCTGTGTCGGCCACGGCAATTCGGAAATCTGGGGGTGGAGGATTCTTCTTGGAGAACCCGCCCGCGCCCGGCTTCCATACGTGGAAGTGCACTCGGAAGGGATCTTCTGGCTTGGATGGGTTCGGTGGTACAGGGAGAGGCTTGTGTCGAGGCACAAGGGCCAGTTGCTGGTATATAGGTCGATAGGACCGGTACAGTCCCGGTGCGACAAGCGGCCCAAATGGCTGCTGTCGATGTTTCCCATCCTGCCCCGTTTCCCATTTGACAAAGGAAAAGAGCCATTGCCATAGCGTCTGTGAAGGCTCCGTTGGCTCTGGTCTCGGTTGTTCAGGCGGCGCGCGGAGGATGTTAAATCCCGCTCGCTTCAGATGGGCGTAGACCTGGTACTTGGGCAGCGTTGTCTTGCCCTGCTCATCCTCGTAGCCGATAAAAAGGGAATATGCAGCTTCCAGACTCAGCGGTAGTCCAACGTCGTAATCGTCCGGACCAAAGCCAGGCCGAGGCGGTCCGCCAGTAGCGCTTCCCTTGGGCACGAGGGTTTCAAAGTCGGTATATGGCCACCATAGGTCAATAGTGCCTCTCTCGACAAGATAGATGGCTTCTTCGGGTAGCAACCATAGTCTTCCCACGCCGAGCTGATCTTTGCTTCCAGAGGCCACTCTTCCAATGTCCTTCATCCAACCTCCCTTCTCGTGCTCCATAACCACCACGCGGTCTTTCAACCACATGCCCTCGTAGTCGAGGGCAACGTTTGTCTCGTCCATCCAAAAGTCTGGAAAACACCAGCCTCTAGCCCACGCATCGCCTTTATGTATCCTTGTGTAGCTCAAAACATCCTCTAGCGCCCTGCGACTCGATTCCAGCGCTCCGTCCTGAGCTCTGGTCCCGTGCGTTTCAAAGTCTTTCTCGCCCTTCCGGATCGTCTGGCTGGAGACGCCCTTTTTCGAGAATGCGGATGCAAACAGCTTGTAGTCGGGCATGTCGTCCTCCAGAGTTTCCTCCACAGTCGGGGCGCCTTCACCATCCGCAGGAGCTGGGCCCGCTGCCAGCGGGCTATCGTCGTCGTCAAACGCCATCTTGTCTGTATGGGATGCGCTGTCTAAGGAAGAGAGAAAGTATAGTCTCAGGTGCCGTCAAGTAGTCCGATGGCAGGTTGAAGCGCGACGGCGCAAACGAAATTCTGCGCTTTTTGCTGCGTTATGCCTGAGGCGCCGCGAAAAGATTCATCTGCTCGCCAGAGCCCTGCATGCGTAAATCTTGCTGCCAGAAACCAAAGAAAAAATAATCATGCCATTGCACCCTCAGTAAATGAAATGAATATCGGGATCGAGAAGAAAAGAAAAAACTTCAAAGGTTGTACAGATTGGCTGTATCGCGATGCTCAGGTGGGGTTGGGATTTTCCCGTGGATTCTCACCACCAAAAGTTTGTGTGAAAAATGTACCGTACTTGGTATTCTCTACGTCAGACACGTGAGAAATGCTGGTCGGGTACGTACCTAGACTAGTTTCGGTACCTGGTAGTTGAGGAAGGAGCTCCTTCCAAGAAGTGTGCTTCCGATAACGATTGGCCCGAAACGGGAATTCAGGGTCTTCACATGTCACTTTCACAGGTCACTTACACGATGCCTTCAACTCCTTGATATAAGAGAATAACGCCAATCCCTTCAACAATCAATAGCGAGTTTGGCCGAGTGGTTAAGGCGCTGTGTTTAGGAAGGAACAACCGATCCGCAGTGGGCATGCCCGCGCAGGTTCGAACCCTGCAGCTCGCATTAGATATTTTTTTTTGTTTTTTCCCCTTCCCGTTTGGCCCGGTTGGGCGCTCATCACAGAGTCAGATTTGCCCTCATATGTCTCAATTGACATAGAGAGTACATTTTTGCTTATGGAGAACTCAGAATCAGCGAAACCTAGCAGGTGCTGCGTGGTGCTGATGGAAAAGATGGACCTTCAATTTGGGGGTGGTTTGCTCCATGATATAGTATGTCATAGTATCACATTCAAGCGGCGACCGCACAAACAGAAGGCAGACGTAATTCACATGTAAAGGAATAACCAGAGCATAATTTTGTGTGCAGTAAGCGAGCTTCAGGCGTAACATTTTGTGGTCCAAAGTTTCCAACTCTCTGGTTCCGCTCCCACCGCTCGACTTGGTTCCTTCAAGTGGGGTATGACTTGCCTCGACCGAGCCATATTACACACTGTAAAATGATGCCTTCGGCATCATTGTCACCGTGTAAAAGGATACTCTAAAGCAATACAGAGAAGTTGCAAGACGGTGCCTCAAATTTGAAGGGAGGATGTTGGAGCCACCCTCGCAGAAAATCTGGACTTCCTCGAAGGACACTCTCTTGGATTACCTCAATTGAAGAAACAGGACAATACAACCATCTGATGAGAGAGCTACCAAAAATCGCCAGATATGGCGAGGGACCCCCGTCTCACCACATCTTCCCATGCCCAGATGCCCAGTTGGGAACGCCCTCGTGCTAACTCCCTGAGGGGGAAGTCCAGAGTGATAAGGGAGATGAGAGTCCCCAAGCAAACAGTCAAGAAGAGATGAACCCTTACGGAAAGAAAAAGCAAATCAGAAGACGTACGAATACAATGTCTATGACTTGGTCACTCTTGACCTTGGTGAGCTACACAAACTGGATGAGGACTGAGGTAACCTAAGTGACTCTAACGTTGATGGCCGTAACTAGATGGAAGAGAGTCTTGGTCGGTACGAAATTCACGGACCCTCGTTGAATTTACTCAGGCTGCAAAAGTTGAGAATAATAAATGCTTGAGGGGTGCCCAGGTGGTGGGTGGTCAATCCGACGGAGTCTTCATCTCTACCCCTAGAGACCCCACAACGCATCTCTCGTGAATGGGTTCAAGGTCTTCCTACGCCACATCGTAAGGTTTCGGAGAGAGATTGGCGCTTTGAAGTTTTTGCAAATTACGCCCCCATTGCCCAACTTGACTATCTTCGACGCAGAGACGTGATCTTTCCTCCCGGATGTAGTCACAATAGGGACCAGAACTTCCCATATTTTTGGTCTATCAGTATCCCATCATAAGCCTGCTACTTGGAACTCCTTAGGTACTCTCTTCAGAGCCCGGTAATACCAAAAAGATGAACCTCAAATATTGAAGGTGAGGGTACCTCCTTTGAAAATACCTGTGTGGTCACCCTTGAGGTCTTTTTGATGAATAATCTCAACTGGGTGGCCTTGGTCCAACCGGATGACCTTGATCCAACTTATTAACCCCCTTTGAGGTATCTGAACAGCTTATTGAAGAACCGTACCGTTGGCTATAGTAATGATCTCCTAATATCCCGCTGTAGTAGCTGGACTCTCTACATTAAGACGATCATCAACTCAGGCACCTACACCACCCCTGGCGGATCATCGAGAATGGGATGGATGGGAACTCCATCTTATCAACGTCAAGGAGTAAGCCCAGACCCTCAACTTCCGATGGATCGTCAACACGTACCCATGCCACTCAGGGAGGCACCTAGTCAATTCGCTATAATTCCTGTAGCACCGAACCCATGGTGATAGCTAGCTATCGAGCAGCTGAACCCTCCTGCTTGGGACAATTGAAGGTTACTGTAAGGTATTAGGTTCATTGAGTACATGTACCACCACTACATTTGTGCCACGGGATACTGGGTAATAGTACATCTAAAGTGTCGAATACATGTCGGTAACCATCCCTTGCCTAGTACTCATAGGAAGTTAATAATGCCCAGTGGTAAGAAACAAAACTTCTTTTTAGGTATATATGCCTTATACTTCTGCGACCAAACTTTATCCCAGGCACCTATATATTCTCGTCCCTCCCCGTTCTCGGTTTCCATCCATCTATCCTTCGTTTCCACACCGTCGTTCAGAATCTCTGCCTACGTCCTTCGTTTCCACACCGCCGTTCAGAGTCTCTGCTTACACCCACTTCACCTTTTCACAATGAAAGACGATATCAAGTATCAGCTCTCACAAGAAGAGCTTGATATTCTCGCCCTTCCCCATTATGCGTTCTCATATCATGAAATGCGCGTTAGTTGCGAGGAATTTCGCAATTTTATCCAGGGCTTCCGAAAGGACATGCGGAATTTCCCTGAGAGGGTTCGCAGTAAGCTCGAGATAGTTCGTCTCGAGATCAAGCAGTTCCATCGAACGATCGTGGGATTCCGTATGGGTCTCCACGATGTGGGCCAGGAAGTCGGTTGTGACCTCCAGCCATACCGTATTGCGCTCTTAAACGAGTGCAAGACAATCTTTGGGGAGATACAGATGCTCCGTAAGGACTACCCCGAGGAGTGCCAGGAAATCCTTGGTTGGTATGGCCAGGAATTACCTGAAGATATCAAGGGATTACATAAGGATGCCCAGGCATTTCGCAACCCTGACCCCAAGAGAGAAAGCCTTGAGTAAAAAAGGCACACCTGGTTTGTCTCCAAACCCCCTTGACAAGTAGAGATAAGAGAAGCTGACTAGGTATAGGGAGGAAAACCAACGCCCCAAAGTTTACGACGCCACTCTGCTACCTTTTATGTCTCGAACTAAAGAATGGTAAACCTATTTCAGGATTTCCCAGGTCGATGCTGTCTGGCTGGATCTTTGGTGCAAAAAATCTTGTCTTGGGTCGCCATGTGGCTTTCTTTGGTCGTGGTTAATTTGTGGTGGCTTGGTTGCGCTGGATGGACGGGTTATTTTGAGGATGTCTTGTTTTTTTTTGAGGCTGTCTTGTTGTTTTGAGAATATTTTGTTTTTTTGAGGATATCACGCTCGGCCAAGACTTGGTGATCATAGACTTCAACGATTCTCCCATCACGCTGAACGAAGAACTCTGGAGCTTGATTGAGGTTCTCCCGCGAGGAAGAGATCTCTATGATCGGACTCGCTTCGGACAGAAGGCCCCAGACCGAAAAAGAAAGGCAACCTCGCCCTACAACTGGGCCTCGATCACAAGTGGGAAATGCGCTCTGAGGAGGAATGGGATGATGGCTCCAATATTTTTGTTCTTTGGAGGATGTCTTGTTCGAAGTATTTTCTATATCAATACATGACGTTATCCAGATGGAAATGAACAGTATCTAGTAGCAGACATGGCGTGAAATGGGATCATCAATAAGATCTGATACCAGCGACAGGTGGGCCAACGAAAGGCGCAGATCGCGAAATTTATTGTGCAATATAATGAAAACATGAACCGCATATCTGTCTATGGCTTGAGGGTTTTTTGTCTCCTCTCAGTAGGGAGAAGGAAAAGATCAGGTTGCTCAGGCGCCTTTGCGTCTTGTAAGGAGACTTTCACTACGACTTAATAGTTGAGACTCGTTGCTATGTTTCTATCCAGGAAAAATATTTTATTTTTCTAAGCCCATATCCTATGTCTTGAAATGCCCTTTGTTACTTTTACTTAATTGCTCATCATCATACGTTAAAAACATGTTCAGTTTGCCTCAGCCTCAGCCTCAGCCTTGGCCTCTTCCTTTTCAGGCTCCTCATATCCCTCGACCTTCATATCTGCCAGACCCAGCTCCTCCTCCTCCTCCTCTGTCCTCGTGTATCTCTCCTTCTTGATCTTGGGATCCGGTGCCGGGGGGTCAACCAGCGACTGGACATAACTGCTGGCAAAGGGATCCGTCAAGATGACAGTAAAGGGCTTGGTGCCGGCAATGGCGTTGTCCAGGTTGGCGAAGAACTTGTCCCACTGGGACTTCTCGTCGGAGCGAAGGGAGTCGCCGCCCTCGCCAGCCTCAAAGATCTGACTGTGAAGGTCGTTGCGGACCTGTGTGAGGAGACCCTCGACGGTGGTGAAGCGGCCGCCCAGGGTGCCGGGGTTGACGTGCAGCTCGAGCTCGGGGCACTCAAGGCCGCAGGTCTCGCTCTTGAGGATGTCACGGGCGAGATCGACGTCGCCGTCGACTTCGAGGATAATCTTCTCACCGTACTCGGGGATCTCGCCGCCGGTCTTGACGTCGTTGGAGCGGTAACCGCAGGCGTCGCACACAGTCGACATGAGCACGACTTGCTTGAAGTGGGGGATGTCGACCATCTTCATGTGTGTTGTGCAGGAGTGCATGCAGCCGGGGCATGTGGCCGGGAAACTGTAGACCTCGTTGGGGATGATTTCGCCATCCTCAGTGAGACCTGGGTTGTTGAGTGTATGGTCGGCGTTGGCGTCGCTGTCCGCGAGGCCGAGGGCCTGGTTCTGCTCGGGAGTACGGGCATATTCGTGCTTCTCCCACTTGCCAACACCGTCCTTGAGGTCGGGCGCGATGAAAGAGTTACCGGCAGGGTCGTCGACGTAGACGCGGAAAGGGAACGAGTCTCCCGCTAGCATGGCCCTGCTCTTCTTGATGATATCTGCAACCTTGTCGAAGATTTCAGGAGCCTGCTCCTTGCGCGCCTCCTGTCCCATCTCCAAGTCGTCAACGACGCCTGTTAGTAGGCCCTCTACATTTGTCAACTGGCCGCGGCCTGCAGGGATTTCGAGGTCGATCTCGATGAACTTGACGGTCGCGGTGTCGGATTTGACGACCTGGCGAGAGAAGTCGGCGAGGGTGGTTAAGCGCAGCTCGTAGTGCGTGCCCTTGGGCTGAATGGTTCCGGCCGGCTGGATCTCGTTGTTCTGGAAGTTGCAGTGGTCGCAGGAGAAAGACATGATGACGACCTCGCGGAAGTAGGGGATCTGGGTAAGGAGGAGCCTTGTCATGCCCTAAAATCTGGGTTAGCATATGATCACGGCATCTCAGGAGGGTTTGTAGCATATA